TTATCAGTCACATATCCGCTCGCTGGCCGAGAAAATATACAAAACCAAATGGTGACTGGAGGTGGAAAATTCATCCATCCAGCAATATATTTGCCCTACGAAACTTAGCGAATTATGTATCTCCCACTGAGTCCCACTGTGTTGAGGATGGCGTACTTTGCCCTTTGCCAGTCACACATGGCATATTGCATCACTATTTGGGGCCATGTCGCCAGTGCAAAAAGGGTTTTCGGCATGCAAAGTAAGGTCATTCGTGTTGTAGCAAGACTACCTTACAGAGCTGACTGCAAGTCTGCATTCAAAGGACTCAGGATAATGACGTTCTATTCGCTTTATGTATATTCTTACTTGTGCTATGCGAAAGCAAACTTGCACTGTTTTAATACATGCAAAGATATCCACTCACACAGCACAAGAAACAGCGAAAACTTACCTACGCACTCCCTTCGTGAGACTAGCCACCTCACAATACGGGCCTAACTTCTGGTCCGTAAAGAAACATGGAAAGGAAACGTTGCCTTGCAATCCCCTATATTGTATAGACGATTACTTTGTTGTTAAGTTTAAGTGTTAAGTTTTATTGTGTTCTCTACTTGACAATTGGCATGTGTAAATATCTTCAGATAATACTACACGAATAAAGTTTATTATTAAAAACGCATCGCTCCAAGAGCAAACGCAAAATTAGTACTACTTTAAGGCCAGAACAAAGCAGCAAGAAAGGAAGGAAATACAAACAAAAAATAGTTATAGGAAATATTGAAGTACGATTGAAAAACAGGAAGTGCCCTTTTGGCTATAAAAATTATACTTATTAAATAAGGAAGCAATAAAATTTTGATTGAGAGGAGGTTGTGTAACTTTTAGATCACGTCTAATAATAATTAATTTAAAGCTCGCGTTATCAATAGTTGATTGTGTGATTAAATACAGTTGTAGACAACATAATAACCGTGTAATAATTTTATCGGTGCGATTGCTGAGGTTCCAGCCGCCCCGTTGGCTGCAATTTTTTTTAATAATTATAAAATTTCATAGAGAACTTTTTATGAATATTAATGTTTCAGTTTTGATAGCTAGTCTGGTAGAGTGATAGGAGGCGGGAACAGTAGTCAGGGAAAGTCCTACTGCCACTGTCATAGAAACGAACATGTCCATCAAAAACGTAACTTATTTGGCAGTACTGACCCACTTAGCCTCCTTGTTTAGTAATATCTAATTCAGCGTGGAACTACAATGGCCCTCGTATCAGTATGTAAGTAATTTAATCGTGCAGTAGGTACCTACCTACGTCAAAGGCTACATAACAGACGGGGAAGTATGACCCACTTGTTCGCTTTCCAATGTTCTTGCTTTTCGCACGTTCAACTACTTGTTATTACACCCTGCTTTGAACCATCGACGATGAATTCTACTCAAAAGTATATCTCAAAGAAACATCTCAAATCGACTGCATTTTTTCGACCGACCTAACATAGTGTATGTATAAAAAGCAAACCAAATCAAAGAAATTTGATCTCATTATTAACCAAACATTGTATAAAGAGTTTAAATTAAATCGATGTTTACTGTACATACAAGCAGACACAAAACATACAGCAAACAAAATGTAAGTTGTGTGGATGCACATTGACATTTAAATGAATGTAGCGATTAAAAGAGTAATTTTAGTGAACATTACTTTTAATTCGTTTTCAGAGTATTTTCCCTTTGTTCCTAATTTTTTATTGAGGATGTGTTAATGTACATTGGATGCCTATCGTTTTGTGGCTCTGACATTAATTAATTAATTAGGCCATTTAATATGATTTCTTTATGAAGAATTTCATTTTATTTGTATGTATTTGTAGAGATGTAAAAATAAAAAGCTTTTTATGAAATTGTGCTTTTGCCGGAATTAATAGATTCACGTAAAAGTCGAGCTCATGATATCAGAAGCAGTGTAGGTATTGGTAATATAAATGATTTTGTGAAATACTCGTAATTAAACGCAGTTGCATATACGATCACCGATCCGTATCTTTCATTTTTTAAAAATAAACTTTTACTGTTTCTTCGTCTTATGTGGGTATACACTGTGTCCAAGATATAAGGATGTCTATCATGGGGATTTCCTTAACCATAGAAGATACGTCGATGGTCAAATTAGACAAAAAAGTGCAATTCATCATGGTTTAAAGAAAGCAAGAAAATTCCGATTCCGATTATTATTCTGATTATATTGTTATTATGATAGATCAGTATTATATTAGCCAGGTTTGACTCCACCATAAATGAGATTTTGTCGGGGCCTACCATATGCCCTTTGTCGGTAACCATTTCAGACGTGCCGTTCACCCGCAATTCGCATTGGATTGGATTTCACTAAAAACCTAGCTAAAAACCCTCTACAACATTTTTACGGCACTTCTCATAGCTCGAGACACGAAAAAGAGAGACCGCGCTTGGAACTTTACGAAACTTTTGGGCGCCAGAAGTCCGCTACCACTCAAAGATGTGCGTCTTGCAAAAGGTAATTAATTTTGCTCCCAGGAAAAAAGAAAATTCCGTCACGCAGGAGTTGTACGCCTTTACAAGATCTTTCCGATGACGCCAATTTGAAAACAATAGGCCGAAAACTGTCGAAGAAGATAGGAAGAAAACTGAAAAATCACCACATTAGTAAAACCACGCTAGGGGATGGCGCCCAGATCATGCAGTCTAGTCCCCAAGAGTGTTAACACGTTGACTGCGGTAGCTTAAAACAAGAACTTGCTGTTGATGCGTTACATATCGCCGGGGTATTGTAATGCAACTTTACCATAGTGCTATACATACCGCCGGGGATATGTAGACAACTGGTCAAGTAAACCCCATCTAGTTTACTTGTGCGTAATTTTTTGAGTTCCACAGCGTGGGGACCTGTAAGCTAACACTATTATTAGCTATACGTAAAACTTATATACGTTAAAAATCAAGGAAGATATGGCTTTCGCACACAACGAATGTTTGGCAAAATTTCGCTTCGTCACCACGGAAAGAAACCCACATATCCCCGAGGATATGTAACGCAGTCAACGTGTTAATTACACGGCCCCGGTAGGTATACGTACGTTTCTCGTCTTTTCTAAGTTCTTTTACGCTCCCTCATTTCAAGCCAGCCAGCCGGCCAATGTGAGATTAGGAGCTTCCTCTTCACAAACAAATTTACAAAAATGGGCTAAAAATAGGTCATAAACTTGATATTTCACTAAGATATTTATTCTTCCTAAAAATTAAAATAATCATAAGTTGCGAAAAAAGCTATAGAGTGGGCCCCAAGATTTAAAATTTTTGTTTAGATGGTTCGGAGCTTAGGAACCACTGGCGTAAAGCATTTTTACGTTTATCCATTGTTTTGTTTCGGGCAGAATGCTGACAGGCCAATCGAACACTTTTGGAAGCACTCGCTTTTTCCAACGCATAATAGGTACAGTTAGTTTTGGTTTTAGCAGAAAAGTTGTTTGTGATTATTTCGCATTTTTCATCGAAGTTTTCATTTCGACCCAATTTACACTGTAGTGTGACTTTAAACTGCTCGTCTTCCTCATATTGCACATGCAACAGAACAAAATCAGGAACCGTGGAGCTTATAATGCTTTTGAATTGTTCTTCATTCATTGTATTTACTTTAAGCAATATAATTGTAAGTGTATGTTTAATTTTTTAAGCACGCCACGTGCACCTCGTAGATAAACAAATAAACAGCACACAAACACAGACTATGGACGGACGGAATGGAGACGGATTTACGTGCGCATTTTCTGAAAATCTAGCAAGAACGAATGCGTTCCGATTTCTTTGCAGGAAATCAATTGAAGACGCTTTTCGAAATACGCTGCGGGAGACTTGATGTATTGTGGGCAGTCTATCACTTAATTTTCGCGCTTTCGATGTAAACTTAAATCGTTTTTCAAAATCTTTCCATAACAATGAATGGAACTATCTCCACAATTGCTATAAAGTTGTAATGTGAATTGAATATCTAGGCAATAACGCCAGAGAAATTTATTTCCTTTTTTCTATTTCATCAATATTTCAAACTATGGCACTCTAATAGTCCTCGAAGTTTCCCTTAAAAGAAAAGGATATCCCAAATCATTTGCTTTCACTGGAATATTGGACCCCTTCTGCATCTTCACTCAGAATTGAGATATCAAGATAATCAAACGATTTCGGACGCAACGAAACAGGTGTACTGTCTATAGCTACTTCCTAACGATTCTAACAGCTTTTGATTTAGAAAGTAAGAGAAGTACTCGTTAATTTAAATTTGTTTATTACTCTTAATTTAAAATACTGCCAGACATTATGAATTAGTCCGTGATAAATATGTCAGGATTAGTAATTGTGCTTGTCTTCAGAGTTCTCTAAAAATACACAAATTTGTACCCGGTAAGAAAAGTGTACTCATGCAATTTAGCAGAGGTTAGGTATCGATAGCACCATTAATAGATAATATTATTGATTTTGCTTCCACATAATTGCAATGTAACTTTAAAGTGATTAGTTTTCAACAGTTCAGTTTTAGCATCTAAATTATATTTGAAAAATTTGTAAATAACGCCCAATGCCGTACACAATGCTCTGTTAAGTATATTACCGTTGACTGAATAATTACTCAATATTACCTAGTATATTAATGTGGTGTGATTCTGTAATAAATTGCGGAGAATTGTTCTGGGTTTTTATTAGCTGAATTATAATTATACCTTTTAGTTGCCAAGTCGAAATGAATAATTAGTACAGTTGTCACCCTTTGGCTTCAGTTTCATATTAACGAAAAAATGTGGTACTAGTTTTAACCGACGTTTTTATCTACCTAAACAAAGTCCTTCTATCTCACTGCTCCTAAACCATCAATCATTTATGGCTGAATTTCGTTCATATAACAAATCGAAAAAATTCACATCCATAATTATAAAATCCAAGGTAAAGTATTTTTACACATTGTTTGCGTAATAAAAATAGTTTAACGGCACGCTAACCCAAAACGTGTGGCATTGGTTTTGGTGCTCCCAACTGTGATGTGTTTACATTAAAATTCCTTAACTGCAATATTGATGAGTGACGACCGCTCTGTTGTTCGTTATAAGTTTAGAGTCGTTTAGAGAAACAAATCGTGCCTCAGTAGTTAGCAGTGGTTAAGTATGGAAGTCGAAAGGACTATAACGAGCCGTAAAAGTGAATTATCTATTCAAGGGATTAAAGAGCACATCACAGAAAGGGCAAATCATCGTAAGTAACTTTGATGGCTACTACACAAATCTTAATTAGGATGCAAAGTGTAATTACAACGAATTTTCTCAGTTGTAACGGAAATTAAGTATTAAATGTGAGCGTCTTTATTTCATTAATTTAATTCGTAACTATGCAGCGTAGTAGTACGTTCCGTGGTCCACATATCGTCTCTGTAAAAGTATAACGTGAAGTTTTAGTTTCTAAAGTTTGTTGTTTTTATTAAAACCTCAACAATTTGTTAGCTCTTTCAACTTATAATCCTGTTAGATTCCTTGAAGCTGTCAACGTGTAGGTAGTCTTTTAGTGAAACGATGACAATTTGACGTATGGGGTAGTTTCCCTTCCTCTTCTAGATCGGTAAGGGATACTATTTATCGATCTCGAAGGGGAAGGGAACCCAATTGCTTGGCCTTAGAAAGTACACTGTGCCACAGTTTCACTAAATGACTATAGGCGTTTCATATACCTACAAAGTGTTACAATTTTGGGCAGTGTTGACCAATTTTCATAGATTCATGTAGTGTAGAGATTCCGGTGCAAACAGAAGACTTACGTTGTGTTTTTGTTCGTAAAATTTCTTCCAACATTGCCGAAATAGTACCTAGGGTTGCTTTATATAATTATTCTTTTGCCCTTGCGTGGTAAAAGTTTACCCGAGAGTTTACCTGACCGACAGCTAAAATTCCAATATGTACCTTACAGAAATTTAACCATTTCCTACTATTGACCAGATAAAATTCGATCCAAATTTCACTCCCTATTACATCTTTCTTACTGAACAGTTTTATACCTTTACAATGAATACTGAATATGACAACTCTATACTGTGGCCATGTTTCTTTTTACCACCCGCACGTGAGTAAATACACGGAAATACACGTTTTGAAGCACCAAGAATCCAAATCAAACAAAATCTCGATGATGTCGATTCCGTCTGTACTCTCATTTCCGGCAAACCGGCTAACCGATTGGAACCAGATTTGGTACACATCTTCTTAGACATAAAAGGGCAGAATCGCGCATGAACAGGTGTGCGGGTGGTACCTGTGCTAGACAGCAAATTTTTTACCTTACTCTTATATGAACAATGAGACGTATGGCAATTTTTTCACGAAAAAAACATAAAATTGAGTATTGTCATTTAAATGACCATACAATTTCAAAAGAATGAAAGCCACCAACACTTCTTCTAAATGAGGCCAAACATTGTTATTAAAAACGATACACATTTGTTACATTTAGCCAATTTACAAAGATGGATTCGTCTAACAATTTTCTGATTATTTTATAACAGTAAACAGAGCTGCTTATACTCAAAACCGCCGCATAAACGGCCAACTAGCTCACGGTTGGAAAATATAATGAATGTTTAAAATCTGTTACAGCGGTAGTTCGTTCTGGGCATACGATCTCCGTTGTTCGTAACCACTTACTAATGGGGTTGAGCGCCACTCAATTTCTAACTTAACTCTCCCCTTATGAAATTGAGAAGATACAAAGGATAGTAATAACAGTACAAATCAATTGAGGTTCCAAAAGAATTACGGTTTCTTCGAAATGTCAAATCAAAGTATCTCCAAAATTCACATTCATTACACAAAATATTCCCATATACGCATTTCCCCAAGTGTACGTTTAACTTCCCAGAAAACTCTCAATTAACTTCCTTCAAAAGAAATACTCCCAAGTCAATAATGATGGATTTAACTAATTACTGAATCTGAAAACCACTTTCTACAAATAACTTGATATTCCAAGGAAAAATTCGCACGTATATTGCCAAGTACAATAAAGTTAGTCGTTGACGCCAAGAAGTGAGCTCAGTTCTCGCATCCAAGCCTGAAAACAATCAAAAAGAAAAACCTCCCAAGCCGCAGGGCTCGTTATATATAATTAGCTGATTAATACCGGAAAGGTCTCCCTCTACTCGTAATCTGCTTCTATGTCAGGTACGACACCTAATCGGCCAATTCCTTCAGAAAGAAGTGGTGGTCTCCTACAACATACGCATTGCAAACTCGATCATAATTTAACCTAAATTGCAAAGGTATTGAGTAGGTACTGATGTTGATGTTGCCAATGCGAGCTTAAATGTAATCAGATATAACGCTGAAGGGCAATCAACTAAGGCGCTAAAGGGTTCTGCCTTAGGAGGCTCGATCCTCGATAATAAATCTCCTTCTTGACCCGCTGACCTATCTCACAGCAAAATCGCCGCCTGTTATCAGTAGACGTGGAATTAAGCCAAGGGCGTCGGCACCCGCGGGTATCAGTGAATTTATTTATTTATTTATTGTCCCTCTTGTTCTAGACTCTCAACAGGCTTACGCCCAATTACAGAGTGACCCGCATATTGCTTTTTAGAGGTGCCCCTGCAGAAGGTCTTAGGTTGCTCTATACCTACTAGGTACTCCGGTATTTACCTTATTACTAGGGAATGCAATACCGGGATATACCGGGATCCCGCAGCATTTTTGCGGGATTAATCCCGCACATAAATGGAGCGGGATCCCGCGGGATTTGTGGGACTGAGGAATTTGTCGACCAAGGGGACGACCCTGTTTACTTTGTTAATGAAACGCATAACGGAGAAGTTATTCTTTAAATAATTGTTAAACTTTTTTCGTTAAAAATGTACTATGATTTTTGAGGCACCTTTTTGTGCTTTACAGGTGAGGTTTTTTTGAGTTTTAAGTTAGGCTGAAAGTATTTTTTTTGTTAAATATTGTGATAATTAGCGAGTTATTTTAATACAGAAGTTAACCGCACAGAATTGCTTATTTGCAAATACCGGGATCCCCGTGATTAACATCTAACAATCCCGCAAATACCGGGATTGAGATTTTGCTGCGGGATTGCATTCCCTACTTATTACGAATTAGGAAAACTGCAGGAAATCCTAATTTGGAGTAGTCGGTAGAATGCTCGAAACTGAGGAAATTCTCATCTCTGCCACAGTTGAAAAATTCACCACAACTCAGGTTCGAACACTCGACCTCTGGTTTTGTAGCCCAACGCTCCATCACTGAGCTACAAAGCCGTTAATTTAAACTAAGGTACAAAACTTGTACGTCGAACAAGAATTAGTAGGTATGTAACCTCGTATGTAACGTAAACCGTGTATGGACTCTAAAAGAAATCAAAATGTAATGAATCCAATCGGATACCAAATTCGAAATCGAAATTTTTTTCTATCACTGAGATCCTATATTGGAAGAGTACCGTAATAGATCCCCGTTAAATTTTCCGCAATATGCAGGTGGGTTCATTTTGTTCTTGGTAGTCATGAAGTAAGACTGGTATTGCGAATAACACCAATATTGATCAGATTCTGTAATTTTAGTTTGATATTCCATAAAATTCCGTGATGCGTTCCAACATGTGCTGAAAAATATCTTGTGTTGATGGTGTTGGTGGGGATCAAGGACATGAATTTAATTCACAAAAATGTTGGTTTTTTGTGGCATTTATCCCTGGGTGCATAGTCCATATGCGGCAGAAAATTGTAAAGCAAATACTGTAACATTCAGCCCTGTGATGTATCAGAAACGTCACAATTAACATGCAGGTTATCTGTCAAAAAAACGTTATTTTGCGAGGCAAAATGACGTTTTTGACAGATAAGCTGCACGTTAACTTTAACGTTAGTGATACATCACAGGGCTGAATGTATTAGATATTTTAAGCGACTAATGTTACTATTTTCTTGTGTGATTGTCATTGGTTGTATATGTATAATGTAATTCTTGCCTTTGTAGAGTGGTACGACGAAAACAAAACATACTGAACAATTTTTTAAAAAACGCAAACCAGGACAATTTTGGTTGGAAAGTGAGCCCTATTTACTTAAAAATGTACACCCCTGGCGTCAACCCCCTAAGCAAGGTTGCCAACCCTTCAATAATTTTAAATTGAACGTTATCAGGCAGCACAGTTAACCAATTTTTCTAGCACGACATTTGATGCCAATGCAATTTAAATTTGGGGAATGGTTACTTTTTTGTTTCAAAACAATTTTGGCGACGACATGGCCACCTGATTGCATATGTGGAAATATTTTAGTGTAAATTTGCATTTCCTTTATGTTTGGTTAACTGGAACCTTGAATGTTCTTACGAAATAGAATTTTAGCTAAGACGTAAATGCAAAATACTGGCAGGTGTGAACTATGTTATTTTGTATAAGTAATGCAAAAGGACGAAGATAACATTTTCGTTTAACCGGTTCTGTTTGCTATTGGTTATTCTACAAGAATGTACACAATAAACAAGATACAAAGAATAACCATAACACATTGTGGGTTCTTCATTTTACTCAGAATGCGATAGGAGTTTAGTTGTTCGACGAACGGGTATTAGGTAAAACAATTTAATCAAAACCGTTGTAAGTAGGTATATTTCTTCACCCATGATAATCCGAAGCAAAATCTCATGTGCGTTGTGGATATCTTCGTTTGCCCATATAGTACAGTCAAATTAGACCAAAAAATGGGCATTCCGTGCATCAGATATGTCATCTCTATTTTTTCTTTTAAATTGTTAGGATGAATATGGATACGAAAAATCCAAGTTTTCGACATTGAAAGACCTGTGCGAGCGACACAGCACTAGGAAAATATGTCATTTTTCTTTCCATTTTTTGGTTTTTGTAAGTTTTAATCTTGAAGGACCGATTTTAATGCAATTATTGTTGTATACTTTTTTGAACTAGACAAAATTTCTGACAATTTAAGCCCTTAAAGATCTCCGCAAGTCTCATAGTTTCCGAGATACGGCGCTTCAACTATTGGTAAATTATTAGTTTTACAAGTTTTATCAACATTTGCGTTTTTCTTCGCAGAAATTAAACTTACCAAATATGCACGATGAATTGTCGTAAGTCGTGAGTCGTAATAAACTTGTTGTTGAAGAAGTGCTAAAAATTGCGGATAATCAAAGCAAATTAAATATTGATTTTTGTCTTTTAGTGGAAAAACATCCATGTTTATATGATGCCTTATTCATTCAAACCATAGTGTTGTGAGTAAGCTTTCTGATACTGTCACAGATCTTCTATATTCGGTGTCCCTTTTGAATGGTCGAGCAAGGTCAGCCAAAAGGAAAAAAATCACAGATTTCGCAATCCATGCAACAGGTAGTGGATCTTGCTGAAGAAGAAGAAGATGACAACTTTCTTATTATGGGAGATGCTGGGGATCCAGAGGATATCAACATTCTAGCTCTTTCTGTGCGGATTTATGGAGACTCCGCACCACAAAGTTCCCCCAAACGAACAAAATTATAAAAATGTTCATGAGGTTTTTATGCGAAAAAAAGGCAAATTTGATTAAAACTGAAGAATTTACGAATTTTTGAAACGCTGTATCTCCAAAACTATTAGACTTACGAGGCCGGTTAAGGGCTTGAATTGTCACAAATTTCGTCTAGTGTAAAAAAGTATGCTACAGTAATTGCTTTAAAATCTGTCCTTCAGAACTAAAACTAACCAAAACCTAAAAATAATAGAAAAAATGGCGCATTTTCGAGTGCTGCGTTGCTCGCACAGGTCTTTGGATGTCGAAAACTTGGATTTTTGACATCCATACTCAGCCTAACAATTTAAAAAGAAAAATAGAAGTGACACATCTGATGCAAGGTATTATGATAATTTGACTGGACTAATAATATAATACTTTTGAATTCTCTATCAAATGACCCAAAAAGTAAAAATTACTTCCATAAGAAAAAACAAAGTTGACGATGGTTAATCGGAGACGAAACGTCAAATTTAAAATTTGAAACTGCCATCTTGTAGAGGAGAAAAAATTGACCGTAATAATCTGTTATGTATTTCGAAATATCTTTTTAAATACCTTCAGTAAAAAATGAAAACGATTTTGCAAGATTTCGTTTTTTTCCGGAAGTAGTCGGAGTTTTTGCAGTTTCAAAACTGCATTTTGTTAAGCATCAAAATACGCGACTTTGCCAAATTTAAACTACCTATCTATTTCTTACAGTTTCCGAGATCCCCACGGTGGCCCTCGAAGTTGAATCAGCCTGTATATTCTGATATGTAGTCCGGTTTTAAATTTGGTACTGTATTATAAAAATACATTTGAATGTTAATTAATCAAATCTACATTATGTATCCGACTTTGTATCTCATTTTATAAGTCTAGGTATATCCGATTATCAGAAACATCAGTTATCCGAACACCCCTAATCCCCAATTGTTTCACATAATCCAATCTCTACTGTGTATGCTCTACTACATTAGTTGTTGTTTCTTCACTATTATGACGTTTCATCAGAAATTATACAAGATAATTAAAAAAAGATCCTTTAATTTCGAAAATTTGTACGTATACATTGCTGTACTTCCCTTAGTCACAAAATACGTTACCTACACTATAAAGTCGTGTAGAAAGCTTCGTGTCACTGTCACTGGCAACATCAGCCGTTATAAATATAAAACAAATATTAGATGACAGGGGGGGGGGGTCCATAGATGTGGCGTGTGACCTTTATTAATATGACACCCTGTACACAAACCCAACGATTTCAACTGCCTATTGTCCCGTTACGTAACGATTGTACTCATTTCACCGATGGTAAAGATTCAATACACATTTCTCCTGAAGCCACAACGCGGATCAGAATGCGACACCATTTCGACTAGCGCCAAAACAAAGATAATTGGAAATTAGGCATCTTAAAAATTGGTATAACGTAAAATTTTCTGCAACATGAGTGCTTCCAAACAACGAATTATATTCTGTTTTTGGAAACGTGTTTTCGGTATATGGGAACAATGTTATACAATGTGAGCAACAATGATTGAAGCGTGCGTCATCACCGCTTGTTCCTATTAATATCAAAACTACCTTCTTTGTATGGAGTTGTATACGAAAATGACGTTCTGCGCTGTCACGGTGACGTGCGTCTATTCGTATTTCGTATCTTGTATCAAATCAGCATATGCTATGAGCGGCACATTGCCAATTTAGCTGAAGCGGCACGCTTCAATCTTTGTTGCTCACTCTGTAGAACACAAATCAGTTACATTTTATTTACCAGCCCTCCCACCAATAATTGATACAGCTTTTCTGCTCATTCAAGGACCTTAGCTGCATCTAAGGCTGAGGAATGCATTGTGTCACAATGCAGGACTCCTGCCCCTTGTATCGGTATCAATATTACAATAAGTATTTCAATACCAGATAACGGATACAAAACACAGATACTGTAACGATGCTTCTAGAACATGTTCGAGGCGCCATAATAATATGATATGCCCTCTAGATTTTTTAGGAAGGCTTATTGTTTGCTATATACGTAATAGTTATTTATGTATTAAGGGCATAATAGTGATGTTTATATTCTCGAGGGCGACAAGTTAAACAGCTCGAGGGCCTATGGCCCGAGAGCTTTTTAGTCGCCCGAGAGTATAAACATCAGTTTATGCCCGTGGTACATACACAATTTTATGATTTACAAATAGTGTTCTTCGGCAAAATTCGTTTACAAAATAATTCATTATGTTTGATCGAGTATGCGTGGTTCGAATTTGTTAATGTGATTAAAACCATCCAAACGTCAACCGTAATTTTTAATAATTCAATTCATCGCGAATGAGCAAGAAGTTCCAGAAACTATACGAAATAAGGCCAATCTTGTGATTTAGTAGGTATTGACAATTAATAATTTACGTTTCTAATTTTCAATGGCCTGCAAATATTTGTTTGTTTTGTCATTAAGTATAAATGAGTTACTATGGTGATACTTAATGCCCTAGGGCATAAAGTGGTACTTTATGCCCGCGTATCACAGATATAAAATGTGCTATTATAGGTTAGTAAGACATAAATTAAATTGTGTTTAGTCTCAGTATTAACATCGATACCGAATTAACAAATCCGCGCTAGTGTTATAAACATGTTATAAAATATAAATGTGGGTACATGTAATGATAACTAATAATTAACTGCTTTCACTTTCACTTCTCAAAATTGGGAAAGATTCCCGCGTTTTCTTTTATTAACGTACTAGTTGACTCGACAGACGTTGTCCTATTCCTATCTTAGCTATGAATATTCAATTGGAACTGGAATAAATAATGATAAAAAAGTACCTACTTCAAAAACATATCGTTTATTGTAATGCTTTTGGATACACAGCATTGTTAGTTTTGTTTTGTGGCGCGTAAATAAATAATGTTGAAGGTTTTCCGACATGGGAACAGGCGACATACAATTGGTCATGTGAGAAACATGGATTTTTCAAATTGATCCCACAAATACGACCTGCCCTTGTGATTTAATTGTCGACATTGTAACCGTCGAATTGCATGTCGTTCGGAATCATAGGGATACGTGGAATCACAACGTCTTGGCTTTTTGGAGAAAATCGATGAGCTTCTTCGTAATCTGCCCCTTTCCAGGAAATTTATGCGATAGGTATGGCGTTGTGTGCGGGTGCACCATCCTGTTGATACCAACAATTTCCAACTTTTGTTTGTTGTGTGCCGCATCGTTGTATTCTTGATAAAAAATGCTACTCAATGCAGTTGATAATTTTTACGAAACGAAACGTTGTATTGAAAAACCCTCAACGCTGTCTTCTAGTTCTCAAATTGCGAAAGAACAAATTTATTGTTTTTTTTCACAACTTTTGGTTCATGTAAATATAAAATATCTGAACGTTTTTTGTATGAACCAAGGCGGAAGATTTTCACTACGTAACGGTGTTTAAAGTCTTTCTTCTTGGTAGTTACTGATTTTACAAGAGTTCGCCCTTTGCATTTATTTATGACGATAATATTTACAATGGAATTTTTTCTTAAACGTTCCATGACCGAAACAAGATACCCGTTTCACTACGTTCTTTGTGAAACTACGGTTTAATTCATGAAACGGAAATTGCACGTCTTTTTGATGAGTTTATATAGGATGTAATGTGTTCTTACGCAATAATTTCTCTTCCGATAAAAATTACGCCACCCTCACACACCATAAACCGCGGCTCTGAGGCGCTGGAGACTTCCGGGGCTAATTACATAACAAAGAACACATAAAAAAATAAACGTTCCTAACCCTACAATCACCAAAACAATTACTTTACGTTACACCCAGAACAATATTTGTCTGAAAAAAATAATTTCGCGACCAGAAAAAATACTTTACTTATTTTTGCGCAAAAAAATCGAAAACGTAAATTCAAAAAATAAAAAGATACCGTAACGTGCTCTAAAGATTGCAAATGTGGCAAGCATCAAAATTAGGCGCAATTCTTTAATTTGAACAGCGTATTTCATTTATACAACCTGAGATAATACAGATAAGTAATTATGAAAATTCCTGGTGCAAAATTACATATCAAATATTCATTTAGCCATATACTAAAAAATTTCCAAAACAGAAATGCTAACTAAGCATTTAAATTATAGATTCTTGTAGCCTTATTTGTCAACGAACGGTCACGCAATCATTTATTTCCGATGACCAATTTAAAGTATAACAAAATAGCCCTATCATTTATTTTTCAACTATGTTAAAACGTGCTTTTTTGTTTTAGCTACGGCCAGTGGTACATTGGTACTATTCCTAATTTTAAATGCCGTAATGCTAATAGTGGGATCTATAAAGAAGGATGACTGCCCAGCTGAACCGTTCATTCCAATTTATCTTATTGTTGCCGGTGAGTATTTATTAATAATGCTATGCTCCTTGCATTAGGTTTGTTCGTTGGCCTGTCCTGAACGATTAAACGATTCCAGTATTACATTTGCATTATACCAGGAAACGTTTTTACTTCTACTCCTAAAATGTGACCAACGAATAAATCCTAACATGTGTGTTTATTGGTGATTCACCTCTTTGACATGTTGGTTAATAAAGACTCACTTTTTCAGGTGCCGTTGGGGTTGTTTCCAAATTATTACCTTTTGCGAACCGCAAATTAGACCTAAAATGTCTTACGCTAGTGATTTACATCCTGTATATATTCGAATTTGTCTGGATGGTGTTTGGTAAGTAAAATACACGCATGAACGTGTACCTTAAGATATTAAGTACAATAACAGTAATTACTAATTATTGGTTTTAGTCCAAGGTTTTAATTTTTTCGAATTCACATTCTTTTACATAGGACAATGCCTCATTTGATCTCAGTTTGACAAATAAAGAAACATTTTGCGATCACATCGGTAATATAAATCTTATGTAAGATAAATTATATATTGTTGTGTCTCCTTATTAGGTAATTATTAATTTAGTATTATATTATTACTTACCATCACTCGATCGAATTAAATTACACCATTGAATAAAAAATTACACATAGGTGTTCGTATTAGTACATAATGGAGAGTCCGTACCAAACCACGAATTATTTTTATGTCTTACTAACCTATAATAGCACATTTTATATCTGTGATACGCGGGCATAAAGTACCACTTTATGCCCTAGGGCATTAAGTATCACCATAGTAACTCATTTATACTTAATGACAAAACAAACAAATATTTGCAGGTCATTGAAAATTAGAAACGTAAATTATTAATTGTCAATACCTACTAAATCACAAGATTGGCCTTATTTCGTATAGTTTCTGGAACTTCTTGCTCATTCGCGATGAATTGAATTATTAAAAATTACGGTTGACGTTTGGATGGTTTTAATCACATTAACCACGCATACTCGATCAAACATAATGAATTATTTTGTAAACGAATTTTGCCGAAGAACACTATTTGTAAAACATAAAATTGTGTATGTACCACGGGCATAAACTGATGTTTATACTCTCGGGCGACTAAAAAGCTCTCGGGCCATAGGCCCTCGAGCTTTTTAACTTGTCGCCCTCGAGAATATAAACATCACTATTATGCCCTTAATACATAAATAACTATTATAATCTACCAATCATATAATACTAGTTTTGCGAATAGTTGATAATTATCAAGGCTGAGGTGATCAGTGCCTTGATTGGAGAAAGTTAGTTTCAGAAATTGCATTTCAGTCCGAATGGAGTTTGTGCCCACACGGAGATGATTCTAAGGATTGTTTTCAAATGGGTGTCGTCGGAAAGATCTTGTCAACGCGCACAACTCCTGCGTGGCGGAATTTTGTTTTTTTTCCCTAAGGGCAAAATGACTTTTACATGACGCTCTTCGAGGGTGGTAGTCGACTTTGAGCGCCCAAAAGCTTAGCCCTTAGAGCTTGAATCGCGGTCTCTCTTTCTCGTGTCGCCAATAGAAGCTCGAGCTATGAGAAGTACTCAAAAATGGAGTACTATTTTGTACTGGGCTTTTAGCGAAATCCGCCAAAATGAGAATTGAGAACGGGACGTCGGAACTGTGTACCGACAAAGAGAATCTAGTAGCCCCCGACAATATCTTACTGATGGTGGAGGCAACGCTGGCTAATAAAACACTGATCTGATGCCACACACAAATGCGCTAAAGTCCCTTCGATCTTACACGAGGACTTTGACAGTTTTTTCCATAAAAATTCGTCATTTTAGCAACTAGGTTGAGAAGTTGTTTCAAATCATGCCAGATCAAAATGTACCTATGTCCATCTGCGTAATAGACATGTAACTGCTCAACATTAAACCTAATCTAAGTTCAGAAGTGTAGGTTTACAATCTGAAACAACCATTGGGCCAATAATCATTGCCATGGATTTTAATGTAAATACTACCACTAAGGTCCGAAAGTGTTGTCACCCCCCTCCCCTCCCCCTTTTTGTTTTGTCCAGATCTGATATACGACAATTCCATGTTCGGAATAATTAATATATAAGCAAAACGTCTTGAAGCGATGATACCAGACAGTTGAAACGGGCTGTTCGAGAAGGGAAATCAGATGTTGGAGCTTGGAGTATCAACGTTCATCACACATCTACTATGCCAAGTTCGAAATAAATACACATCAACACCAAAATAAAAGAAAATGATAAAACTTTTGGATCTTACTGTAGAATATGTTCTAGCTGGCAAGTTTGATTGATTGAATGTTTGTACATTTACATTTCTGTTGAAAATAATTATTCAGAAACACCTCACATCGTAAATAGAGTGCATCGGTCAAAATCCCTTTATTATTATGACAAGGATCGGGTGTGGTAACAATTATCACCTACGACGCGACGCGATGTAGCGCTTTGCGACTATGTTTAGCTTTAGAGTTTATAACTAGCCCTCCTAATGTTACCTAGCATGCAGGAATCCCTCCGCTAGATAGTGAAAGACAGAAAATTGGTTGGTAACAGGGCTGTTTGTAAAAGACAGAATGCATAACTGCATTGATAATTCTAGTCATTAGCTTACAACCAGTTGCATGGGTCTCACAAAATTAACCACTCATGCAGTGATTCGAAAATACTAATGTAACCATTGTGGTAGACAAAATAAGATGGCCCTTATCGTTAGTATGAGATTAGATAATTAATGAGATTGAAATTTACTAATGCGAATTATTTTCAGGTTCCTATTGGGTGTTTAGTAATTACAAACCAATTTTTGACGATAGTGGTGATAGGAGTTGGTATTGCAATCGTACAGCATACTATCTCGCATTTGGACTGCTAACTGTTAATTGGATTTTATTAGGTATTACAGTTATGCTAATCTGTTGTGCTTTTGTTGTATCTATATTCTTAAGGGACAAATAAATGGAATCGAGTTTTTGTATGCATGCCCTATTAATTAAGTAATGAATCATGGAGGTATTTGCGAACAGTATTTTTTTTACAGTTGTACACAATTAAAAAATTATGGCACCCAAAGGAAAAAGACTACAGCGCGCGTTGTTTGACAAGTAATTAGACAATTTTAAGTTTGAGGTTGTCCATTGGGATCTGAGAAACCGAAGTCAGTTAAATGGAGGTAAAGTTGCACATTTTGGAGCCCGATGTAACTCTACTTAGAAATTTAAGGAATTCCAAATACTTTCGGAAAAAAATCCGAAAATTTTTTGTGACTTTATTTGAAAAAACTTTTGTCTCCTATAAGCTGGCATGATTAGATTTTAATGCTGACGTTTCTGTTTTTTGGGACCATTATCAACGTAATGTTAAGTTTAGTTTGAGACGGACTATACTAATGTTTTTGCTATTCTTAAAAATGTTCCGGTAGAAGAAATGTGGGTTCAGCACAATGGTGACCCATCTCATACTGATGTATCCTTAAAAAAATGGCGGAATCAACAGTTTCTTGGCCGGTGGATAGGTCGAGGAGGCACTATGAATTCCCCAGCGCGATCTCCAGACCTTACATTACATCACCGGAATCTTATGAGGATACATGAAAGGAATTGTATGCAAAGAAGTCCCATAACAAAAGATAATGTGAAAATGCGCATTCGTAATGCTTTCGCATCCATAACGGCAGTTATGTTTCGTCGTGTCACAAAATGCTTTTCTAAACGCATCGACACATGTGTTAAGTCCGGAATCATATCACCTTTTTTTTAATACAAATTTAAATTATGAATCCCGCATATCCTATCCCAATCCTGCACGAGGAGAGGGACAGTGCCGGAAAGAGTGCAGTGCAGCGCGCGCGCTAGAGCAGAAAAGTTGGTGCCAATAAATACTGTTTTTTTGGGGAATTGGGGTAAGTGCAGGTCCTTTTACTACACAAACATTGATGGTCCTTCGTCCCGGATTTAAATCCTTTTAATTACCATTTCATAAATTAAAACTCATCATAATTGATTTTTGATTTTGATAGTAGTTTGGTTACGGTAATTTCATATTTCCACCACATAAATTATACACGCATTAATCCTTATTAATTGCTTAATTACGCAATTACGTTATTAGCTCAAGCAATAGATAAATAAACAAATTCGATAATTTTGTTCGCAACGACAAGGTTGTGTCGTTATCAATACAGCCATACAATTTTGGTGTGTCTGTGTCTGCGCTCTATCTGTACCTGGTCGCATTGTAGTTCCGTATAACGATAAAAATTCGGATTCGATATTTTTTCTCTTATTTTTCATATTGCTTAAATTTACTATTTTTCAAGAATGAACCCAACCGTAGCAGCTAAATTTAACAAATCTATTCTTTTACGAAATACCGCGATGTCTAGATTAAAAGAAACTTTACGGGAAGGCGAAGGGGAGTTAGATGAATCAAGAAAAGCTATCTTCTTGGCGAGAGCACTTCAAGTAGATACCAATTATAAGGAATTTCAAGAATATCACAATTATATCATAGGGTTAGTTAAAGATGAGGATTTTCCGGAACATGACAAAATTCGTTCAGATACAGATATTATTTTTTATAAAATAAAGGCGTTATGTGCTATAATTAATAAATCTCATATACATACAGAAAATTCTAACGCAAAAACAATACAAAAATTACCAAAAATTCAGATCCCAAAGTTTGCTGGTGATATCAAGGAATGGCCAGCTTTCATAGACTTATTTAATTCATTGGTGCATAACAATGACAGTATCTCTAAAATCGAAAAATTTCATCATTTGATAACTTCAGTACGCGACGAAGCTCATAATATTATTAAAGGTTTGCCGTTAGTTGAAATTAATTATGACACAGCTTATCAAATTCTAAAAAATAGATACGAGAATAAAAGATTACTTGCTACAGCCTATTATCAACAATTACAAAACGCCACTGCTTTGCAGCGCCCTAATTCCAAAGATTTAAGGTTACTTTTAGACACGTTTCACGAAAACATTGAATCTTTAAAGGTTCTCAATTTTCCAGTCAATTCTTGGGATTTTCTATTGTTTAATATGCTTTTGCAAAAGTTAGATACCAAAACCCGGACAGATTTTGAACTAGAACATAGTGAAATTGAGCTTCCTTCATATAAACAATTAATTACGTTTTTAGAAAATCAATCAAAGGCACTTGACTCGTTACAATTAATGTCTCCCAAGTCGAAGATGGCAGCCGCTTCACCTACTCCACAAACTATTAAACGTGGTTATCAGATTTCAAATCTTTTAAATACTGACGCAACCAATACTTCACAAACGCAATCTAGTACTAGAAATACTTTGAAGTGTTCACATTGTTCGGGGCCGCATGGCATATATAAATGCACTGAATTTTTGTCAAGACCAGTTCAAGATAGAATTCAAATAGCTAGCACGAAGAAACTTTGTAAAAATTGCCTTAGTTCTTTACACAATACTTTTCATTGCAAATCTACAGCAAGATGTCATGTCTGTGATCGCAGGCATCACACTCTGTTACATCTTAACGCAAAGGTTTTATCAGTACCAAGTGAGGATACTGTAATTCCTTCGACTTCTTCAGAGTCCGTGAGCGCTAACGAAATAACGCAAACGCAGTCATTGAGCGTAATGACTAATATTACTTCTAATTATCAAATTTCGACAGTGCTTTTATCGACCGCAGTTGTTAATGTTAAAGACATACGGGGTAATTATCAACCAGTTCGCTTATTGATTGATTCTGGAAGTATGATCAATTTTATTTCCGATAATTGTGTTAATCGGTTAGGTTTAAAACCCAAGCGTTCATCGTTAACAATTCATGGATTAAATAATATGTCCACTCAGTGCAGTAAAGGAAGTGTGCTATGCCACATGCAACCTGCACATGGCCAAAATCCAAAATTTAATTTTGAAGCATTGATCGTGCCCCAAATTTGTTCGAAGCAACCTCAAATGGAAATTGATGTTTCAAATTGCAAACATATCACCAATTTATGCCTCGCAGATCCCAAATTCCACATACCTTCGTCTATCGACATTTTAATTGGTGCTGAACTCACACCGTACATATTTAACAAAGATCGCATATTTGGTACAGCCGATCAGCCAGTAGCTATTGACAGTATATTTGGTTGGATACTACAGGGCAGCGCTTCGGTCCTTCGCAATTCCATCGACAATGCAACTCCGTTTTCATTTCACGTCTTCGCACAAATTTCATTGAACAGAACTCTACAAAAATTTTGGGAAGTTGAGCAGGTTCCGAAGAGTACCGTAATTCTGACTCCAGAGGAACAACTGTGTGAAACGATTTTTTCTAACACAGTGAAACGAGAACCCAGCGGCAGATTCATTGTGTCTTTACCATTTAAAGCTTCTCAGCCAGTTTTAGGCGACTCTTACAGTCAAGCAAAACGCAGATTTCTTTCCTTGGAAAACAAGCTAGCTAAAAACCCATCTTTACGGATTGCATATGCTGAATTTATGAAGGACTATCTCGAGAGTGGTCACATGTCAGTACCTAGTTCGTGATTTGAAAATTAACAATGGGTTCTATTTGCCACATCATTCATTGTGTGTATCGCCCCGACAGTTTATCTACTAAATTGCGTGTTGTATTCGATGCTTCCGCAAAAGCATCGTTAGGATTATCTTTAAATGATACGCTACTTATCGGTCCTAAACTACAAAAGGACATATTTGCAATATTATTAAATTTTCGATGTTTTCCAATTGCAATTATTTGCGATATCAAACAAATGTTTCGACAAATTAATTTGGAACCCAAACATAGAGATTTTCAACGCATTTTGTGGCGTTTTTCCCCAAACGAACCCATTAATGAATATCGTCTTAACACAGTAACTTATGGGCTCGCTTCTTCGCCTTATTTGGCTAATCGCACAATCCAAGAACTCGCCAAAATATACGAAAATAGATTCCCTTTCGCATCGCACGTATTGCAGAATTTTATTTATGTCGATGACGTTGTTTACGGTGCAACTAGCATAGAATCGGCGTTAAAATTACAGAAAGAGTTAATTGAACTTATGGAACTAGGCGGGTTTCAATTGAGAAAATGGGCAAGCAACCACTCAGAATTAATTAAATCGCAACATCAACATCTCATCGATTTTAACAAAGAAGCACCATCTTCCGTTAAAGTTCTAGGGTTACATTGGAATCCGATAGATGATAATTTCTTTTATTCTTACACATCCCATGATCCGTTGGTCACTAAGAGATATATTTTATCTGAAATTTCCAGAATTTATGACCCTTTAGGTTTCCTATCGCCGTGTGTAATGTTCGCAAAAATTATTATGCAACAGTTATGGATCTCAAAGGTCGGGTGGGATGATCCTCCCTCAGATTCTATCGTACAAAAGTGGAATCAATTCAGATCTGAGTTATCATACCTTTCAAAAATAAGCATTCCTAGGTTGTTTTTATGTCAGGACGCACTTTATACGGAGTTGCATGGTTTTGCCGACGCGTCGCAAATGGGATATTGCGCAGTTGTTTATTTTAAAATTGTCTTATCCGATAGTTTAACTAAGTTATTCCTTGTTTCTGGAAAATCTCGCGTCGCCCCGCTAAAAACTTTATCTATACCGCGTTTGGAACTGTGTGCTGCTGTAATGCTGGTAGATTTGATTGCCAATATTCAGTCAATGCTACCTAATGTAGTTATTAATGAGCTACACGCTTGGTCGGATAGTCAAACCACCCTCGCTTGGATTAATTCGTTACCTTACACAAAAAAGGTTTTTGTTGCATATCGAATTTCGCATATTCAGGAAACATTGCCAGAAGCTCGATGGCATTACGTTCCAACAAAAGATAACCCCGCCGACGTGGGGTCTCGAGGTATAACCCCATCCCAGCTACTCGCACATTCGTTGTGGTGGGCAGGTCCTTCTTGGCTTTCACGATCAAGGGAGAATTGGCCTTTGCAACCAAATCATTTGGAAGCAACCGCAGAGGAGGAAACGAAATATGTGGTCCTAAATGCAGTCGTGGAGCAACATTGTATCACTTTACTTCTCCAAAATTTCTCATCACTTCAAAAGATTCAAAGAATTTTAGCTTTAACTTATCGTTTCATACATTGTTTGAGGAACAAAAACTTTCAACCACCAAGAACAATCAATATTAGTGAAATAGAACACGCTTTGACGGTTATTATAAAACATGCTCAGCTCGAGAGATTTTCTGACATTTTCCGAGCAATTCAGCAAAACACTCCGGTTCCTAAGCCGTTTCGCAAACTTGCTGTTTTCATTGACCAGGTTGGTTGCCTTAGGGTGGGTGGAAGATTACGTTATTCAAATCTCGCATTTGACGCAAAACATCCGCTTTTATTGCCAAGTAATCATAGGATAACACAATTAATTGTAGAACATACGCATCAAAAATATTTACACCCAGGATATAAAACCCTTCACTTTCTATTATTACAAAGATTTTGGATTCTGTCACCACGACGTGCCATAACTAATTGCATATCTAAGTGTATAAGATGTTTTAGAGTCTGTCCAAGAGTTAATGTGCCGTTTATGTCCTATAGAGTATCGCAGTTGAAACCTTTTTCTGTAGTCAGTTTAGATTATGCGGGACCCGTTATGATAACTTTAGGAAAAACTCGAAAACCAAAAATTCTAAAGGCATACATATACATTTTTGTCTGTTGTGCGGTAAAAGCTATTCATATAGAGCTTGCATCAGACCTCTCTTCAGATTCATTTATCGCCGCTTTTCGCCGATTTACAGCCCGCAGAGGCAGATGTTCCGAAATATTTAGTGACCAAGGTACTAATTTTATTGGTGCAAATCGTCAATTTATCGAACTTGCTCAACAAGCTGCAACTAAACTTAATTTAAATTGGAACTTTAATCCACCTGGAGCGCCACATTTTAACGGTCTAAGCGAGGCTGGGGTGAATGCTGTTAAGACTCATCTTAAGAGAGTAATCGGTACTCAAATATTAACCTATGAGGAACTATATACCTTTTTAACGCAAGTAGAAGCTCTTTTAAACTCTCGTCCTTTATGCACCATTTCACAAGATCCTAATGATCTGCAGGCACTCACGCCATCTCATTTTCTAAATTTGGAGCCATTAAATTCGGTTATACCGGATCCAGATCTTTCACATATAAAATTAAATAGATTAAATCGATGGCAGCTATTGCAGAGAATGCATCATGATTTTTGGAAACGGTGGCATTTAGAATATTTACATATGCTTCAACAGCGAAGCAAATGGTACAATAAAACCACTAATATCCTAGAGAATGCACTTGTTCTAATTAAAGATGAACAAAAGACTCCATTATTTTGGTCTCTAGGACGGATAATTGAGGTGCATCTAGGTACAGATGGAGTGGTCCGCGTTGCCACTGTAAAAACATCTCACGGTATTTATAAACGGCCAGTGGTAAAATTGTGCCCACTGCCGATTCAATAATAATTTCTTTTCTCTTCTTTTTTTTTGTTTTGTTCTTTCTCACATATACCTAGTTAGTTAAGTTGCTTGAGTGAATAATACAAGTTTTTATTTTATTTTGTGTCACAGAAAAAACTATTGTTTTTTGATGGGTGGTAATGTTAAGTCCGGAATCATATCACCTTTTTTTTAATACAAATTTAATTTATGAATCCCGCATATCCTATCCCAATCCTGCACGAGGAGAGGGGCAGTGCCGGAAAGAGCAGAAAAGTTGGTGCCAATAAATACTGTTTTTTTGGGGAATTGGGGTAAGTGCAGGTCCTTTTACTACGCAAACAACATGTTTGGTTGAATATTTATTGAAATAATTGTTATTTTTATTTAAACTTTTTATTTTGGTTTTTATGGTTTTTGAGTTTTTGTTCTGTTTTATTTGGAGTAAATTTTTTATAATTTCAATTGGATCCTTTGGAAATTAGTATTTGGGTTGAAAACTATACCGTTCCTTCAGAAACGTACCGTACCTACTGTGGATACGTGCCTGAATCACCTTCATGACGAACTGAGATAAGGATGTTTCCAGTAAGATGGTGCAGCAGCTCATACGGCAAACGTCACTTTTCAGTACCTCCAACAATTTTACGATGATCGTTTAAACAGCAGAGGTTTATGGCCTCGGGTTCGCCAGATTTAACCCCACTAGATTTTTCTGTTTCCTACATTAAAAAATAACATTTTTTGAAATTGCTGCACACTCTTGAAGAATTTCAAAATGCGATCGTAGAAGAGGTAATGAACATCACACCGACAATCTTAGAACGTCTATTGAAAACATGACCCGTCGAGTGCACCGCATCATTTTAAACAAACTTGCACAGCATGGTTTAAGGTTTTATAATCAATCTTTAGTGAATTTATTAAAATTTATTTAAGCGACGCCAGTTTGTATCATATAACGGATACAGATCCAATTCATTCACTCCAACATCAGGGGTCCAACTTGAGGCCCCTTCTATTCTTAATTTTCATAAATGACCTACCCTTAATTATCTCCCCCAATAAGCTTCTCTTTGCAGATGACCTCAAAATTTTTACTGAAATATCTAACTATCAGGACTGTAAGAAACTTCAAACAGACTTGAACATGCTTAATCAATGGTGCCAGAATAACCAACTATGTTTAAACATTTCTAAATGTATGTTGGTTACTTATTCTCGCAAAGTCAACACGATCGAATACAATTACACCCAATTCAGGATCTAGGAGTTTACTTTGACAGTTCCTATACCTCAACTCGCATTAACACGGTTATAAAACGGCCTTTTCAAACCTTAGGTTTCATTATTCGTATGCGCTCAGATTTGACGAGCCCAAACACAATTAAAGCTTTATACATATCTTTAGTAAGATCTACGCTAGAGTATTGTTCAATAATATGGTATCCCATACATAAAAAGTACCAGGACGAACTAAAACGTGTTCAACGTCGTCTTGTTAAATATTTATACTTTCGTAAGGAAGGCACTTATCCGGAAAGAAGGTACCCACAAAGTACATTAAATGACATGTTTAACCTAATGCCTAATAAGCGACAAAGTGTTACCTTTTTATTTAATCTGTTATATAATATGATTGTAACGTACTCGTAGAGAAAATTAGGTTTAAGGTTCCACGATTATCGGCATCAACGTTTCATTTGTCTACATGTCGCACTAATTTGATGCAAAGGTCGCCTATTTACGCTATTTGCCATAACTTCAATTGTCTAATCCACCATACAGATATATTTAACGCCTCTTTGAAATCTCTACTGTCAGAAATTGGATAAAACCCGGCAATTTCTGTTTTCCTTTGTCATTTTCTTTTTTGTTTTTTCGTTTATTCTTGTCGCATTTTTTTAAGGTGATGTTAAATTACGAATTTATGATTTTGTTACATACCTATATGGTAAGGTTAATTAATTAAACGTAGGTGTAGTAATTTTAGTTAAATTTGGAGTATACTCGCTATTCCACTTACTTTATTTGTTTAAACTTTGTCCTGTATTTGGATTTTCTGTAAGGGAAAGTTATTATTATTATTATTGATAAATTAATTTTCTTTAATTAAGTTAATTACGATAATTTTTAGTTGCTCATTGAATTGATCTGCCACTGCTTTTAAATAAATTTGGCGGGTTGCCAACTTCTTTTGTTCTGCAGGAAATTCAAACTGTCCGCAGTACTTTTGGATCATCCGATACTGTATGTACCTCACTAAAGAAACTAGAAAATTGATACTTCGCTTGTAAATAGCTTGAAGCATAATTATAATCGATATTTATTCATTGTCGTTACATCATCATAATAAGAGAGAGGAATGTAGTGATGATATCAATGAAAAATGGTATAATGTAGACACAATGTTCTAAAATAGCATAATTTTGTATTAACATTTACCAACAGATTTCTAGGAATTTATACGTTTTATAAGGTGAGCCCAGTTTCTATTAATTAGAGTAACCTAGAAATTGTAGTCTATTACATTCCATTAAAAGTATTACTGTCAAGATGACATCATCCGAAGTTACGCTTTAATGGCCATAACGCTGCATCCTTTAAAATGAATTTATTAAGACGAAATTTGAAGTTGTTCTATTTTGTACAGGGCGATTATTTAAGCGGCCGTCTATCTGGGCAATATCACTGAGGGGAAATGGCTCACCCTGCACAGACTACACTTTAAAACAAATATAGTCTGTAAAATGAGTTTCGATTTCGGATTAGCGCTTAATTAACGCACGCCATCAGTTTATATATCTTTGCCGTTCTAACACATAATAATTGTGGTAGAAGGCAAGTGGGTAGCCAGGTTTGTCACCGCGGGCGGTGAACTAAGAAGAACGCTCTACGTTAAAGGAATTCTAAATGGAAATACATGCACCAAAAAGAGATATCAATAGGTAAGTCATGCTTTGGCGCGTTTCGGGAAACGCCCATTTAAGTGGCACTGCATTGCGCCATTGAATAATAAATCTGAATAGAAGGTCAGTGAGATAGGAGAAAAGGTGGCCAGTATTCTTTATCTAGAATGTGCTGGTATCGTACGGCAAGTAACAAAACGTGATTAAAGGAAACTCTTCAACATTTTTTAATTCATACAATATAGCCGAGATACTCACTTCAAAATGAGTAGAGAGGTGAGAGAGAATGTTTTGACTACGGTGACATCATGCCATTGATAAACTTACGCACGTCGGTAACTGGATACCTTTGATACAACGATCGTCTAAATATAGTTTTCAGATGAATATCCGACTTAATTTTTTAACAAGTTATAAGTTCTTAATTCAATAATAATAACAGCGTTGTTGCAGAACGTAAAAAGTCAATTATTGGATACAAGATAATTAGACAACAATATGCTATGATAATATGATAAAGGGTCCGTTCACTTAGCCAAAAATGAACTAATTTTTTTACGTATTGTGCCTCAATAATCATTTGTGCTCAATAGTGCATTTATTCGCACCGTTTGTGCCTTTTTGGTTTTGGAGATAATAGGACAAATCAAATAGGGGCAACTTAAATCGTTATTTTTTTGTTATTTGTGACATTTTCAACTAACTACATACGAAATTAGATCATTCACTATAGTAGTAGGCGAGAGACACTTTGCCCCAAGGCCCATTCTCCAAACGAGTACCTATAACTTTAGTTTGAAAAGTTATTTTAAAATTTTGTTCCTTAACTCATCCAGTATGTACACAACCAATTTCGTGGAATTCTCTCCATTTTCGTTGTCCGGCCAAGAATTGCAGTGGAACTTTTTTTTCGAATTTTCAAAAACTAATTCCAGATTCGTGATTTTTATGTTCAAAAACCGCCAGGCACCAAATTTCGTCGAAGCAGGGGTGCGCCCTTCCGTGATAGGAATTTTGAAAATTTTTTTCAAAATCGGAAAGGGCATACCCGAAAACCTAATTAAAAACGTGTCACTCATCTTTGTAACTGTTGTGTAGTGATTGTTTCAGGTACGGTGAAAATTTTTTTGCGGTTTTAGGTCACTAAGTAGGTCTATTTTAAGAATCCGCCCAAAAATGTCTGCAAAAAATACAAAAATTAAATTTTTTAAAAATATGGGCATGTAGCACATCGATTTTAGGGTTTTGAAGTTTTCTGAATTTAAATTTTTAGTTAAAAATGTTTTTGGGGGCATTTTGGAGGAGTGGGGGGTGTTTTTAAGGGGTGGGTTTTTATATTTTTTCAATATTAACGTGTCGCTGTCATACATCGATTTATATGTTTTTATGGATAAGGATCTCGAATTCCATATCAAAATGGAGGTACAGCAAGTTATTCAATGTTCAAAAAGTAGAACGACGCCGACAGACGGCCCGAAAATAACATAAAACGCGCGGTACGCCTCGCCCGCGCTGCACGACATCATTTTAATAAAAAGATAATAATTTTGACGCTATCTTGTATATCTTTCTAGGATTTATTCAAAAATCATACTTTGACATCAAAATTGTAATCTCCACCCCAAGAAACTTATAAAAAGACGTATTGCATTTGTTATAATTATTATCTTTTTATTAAAATGATGTCGTGCAGCGCGGGCGAGGCGTACCGTGCCTTTTATGTTATTTTCGGGCCGTCTGTCGGTGTCGTTCTACTTTTTTAACATTGAATAACTTGCTGTACCTCCATTTTGATATGGAATTCGGGATCCTTATCCATAAAAACATATAAATCGATGTACGACAAGTTAATATTGAAAAAATATAAAAACCAACCCCTTAAAAACACCACCCCAATCCGCCAAAACGCCCCCAAAAATATTTTTAACTAAAAATTTAAATTCAGAAGGCTTAAAAACCCTAAAATCGATGTGTTATATGCCCATATTTTTTAAAACTTTAATTTTTGTATTTTTTTGGTCGCCATCTTGAATTTCTCAAAATGCTCAAGGGTGTCAAGGTGGCATTCTCCTTACGAACAAAAAACCGTCAAAAAACCTTCACCGTACCTCACTT